GTCCTCTTCCCGACGTGAAAGGCGCTCTATAAATGCAATCTTGTTGTTGTTGTGTTGTTGTTTTCAGGTGATCCTTTGCTGGGTTACAGTTCTATAGGCACCAGCTACCTTCCTGCATCTCCAGTAGTGCTCATTCTTTATGAGTGAGCCTTGAGAGCGAGAGTGATTGTTGTCAATCCAGACCAATCTTGTGATAAGGCTGACCCTAAAATTACCTGACATCTTGTGACCATGCTCAGGTTCCAGTAGGGGAAGAGAGTCAGTCAGAAGCATGAACTCTCCCAAGCCAGGGACTCTGAGACCAGTCATAATAACCCAAAGCAACAACAACAACCTGCATTTACATAGCAGCCTTCACATGGTATTGCATCTCGGAGTAGTTCTTTTTGAGATCAAACTTGTGACATTCCTGAGATTCTATATTAAATGCACTCTATCAAATGCAAGGTTTAGTGCTACGGCAGTTGGTACTTTTACCCAGTGGGCCGTTAGAGCATCATCTGACTTCGGTTTTTAAATACCTGTTTTCCATTCTTTGTCATTTGACTGCCAGCTGCTCTCGAGATCTCAGTTCAGTCACTATACTTTAAAATAAATCCTGTGAAACGCTTTGTGACAACCTCCCGACATGAAAGGCATGATATCAAATGCAAGGATTATTATAATTATTTAAACTCTCAGGAGTAGCTTTATTCCTGTAAAGTAATTACAATAGTTACTTTACTTTCAAAGAATTCTGTACCAAAACTTAAAAACATTTCTGGCCTCTATTTATTATTTGTCAGCTGAGCTCAGTTGGTAGCAATCTTGTCTCTGTGTCAGAAAGATGTTGCAACTATTTACAAATATACAGTCATTACATTTGACAGCAATTATATGTGAAGTGCTTTGAGATGTTTCAGTGTTCTAACCACTATATCAAATGCAACAATTATTTGGGCGATTATTTATGGTATGAAAACATTTCCATCCCTATATATTTTTTACAAGTTCAAATTTATTATATTTTTAGGACAAACTAGTTTTAGGAAATAAAGTGGGAACTCTTTCCAGTACCAAAGGTATATCTATGATAATCGTAGATATCTGTTGGAACTCTGCTCTAAATTTAGAGTTCCTGGGGTTGGATGATGTACTTCCTGCTTGATATATTGGATATATTTAGAATTAGCTTGATGCTGTGATGGGAGGATGTAGGGCAGGTCCCTGCAGCGCAGGTCCCTGCAGGGCATTACGCCGTTGTCTGAAGAAAGACCTCAGACGAATTGCTAAGGCCAGTGGAGGTAAGTGCAGCAATTTTTTTTACTAGGTTACTGTTTTGAATTATATATACTTTCAAACTAGTGATCCCCTGCCTTATTGGACTCCAGTTATCCGGAATTCCGACCTGGTTGGACGAGGCCCAAAACCAAAAACATTAATTTTATTCTGTGGGCCCAACTCCTAGCGCGGATCAATGGTGCACTGAGTAGCCTCTGTCTGTGCTGACATTCATAGTGGCCAGTGATAGCCACTATGACTGACTCAGATTGTTTGAATCCAGCGAGCAGAAAATAGCTTATTCGCTATCTTCTTAGTCGAAAATTGATCTGATAACTCGTTCTGTAATATGGCATCTTGCATTACAAAGGCCTCCAGCCCGATGCTGTGATTGGTAGCGGAGGTTGGGTGCCTATGCTCAGATGCGTTGCAGGGGCTAAGCCGTGGCCTCCTACGCTGTCTTACATCTTATCGTGTGACAGGATAGGGCCAAAAGCCACGGAGCAGCTGGGAGGACCTTTATCAAACTCGCTACTCCGGATAACTTATTGCTCAGCTCTTTACCCTTGGAGTGACAAGCTATCGAGTTTAATGTCCAATATTAATGTCATTCAATTTTGAAAGGTTGGCATTCGGAATCAGCTGGAATTTTCCTAGTGATTCTGACGTCCTCCCGACATGAAAGGCGCTATACAAATGTAATTTTGTTGAAGTGTTAAAAGTACGTAAATCAGAAAAGGGTGTCTTGGACTGAGAAACCTATTCTGATGATTTTTACCTGTTTTTGTTTATAGCAACTATCTGTTCAACACTTGCAAACTTGGAAGGAGATGAGAGTTTTGATCCCTCTTTAGTGGGCCAAGCTGAGGAGGTGGTTCAAGAAAGGATATGCGATGATGAACTGATACTTGTTAAAAAGTAAGAAAAACATGTACAACTTACTGAACTCCCATTTATTTGCTGCCCTGCTAATATCTGTGGCATGAGCAGTTGTACGCTTGGGATAGAGAATATTCAGCCTTGTGTGACTGAAGACCTTGCTGATGTCTTCTCAGTAATGCATTAGCTGAACATAAAAAATTATCTCCAATGTATACAGTGTAGTATCTTGTAATGCTACTGTTAGTGTTGCAGAATTGAAAAAGATGTTGGGATTGTAATGGTGTTGAATTTTTTTTATATTGACTGCACAGATGCAGATTAAATTTGTTGTGCATATAAATATAATCTAAGCAGTTTCCTGATGAAAGTAGAACTGTCACATCTATTCCTGGTTTAAGTCGGCAATGAATATTGTTTTGCATAACAGTATATAAGCAATAGGTATTGTTCATTCAGGAGCAGTGCACACAAAGTTTGTGATTGAAAAAGGGATCTAGATTCTGATTTCTAAAAGTGAGGTATAAATTGATGCTGACATTTTAAAATGAGTTTAACCCAACCCTCACAAGTACTATTGTTGTAAAGTTTAATTTGTATTTTTCAGTACAAAGGCCCGTACTTCTGCATCAATCATTCTGCGAGGAGCAAATGATTTCATGTGTGATGAGATGGAGCGCTCCCTACATGATGCACTCTGTGTTGTGAAGAGAGTGCTTGAGTCCAAGTCTTTAGTTCCAGGAGGTGGGGCTGTGGAAGCTGCACTCTCCATCTACCTGGAAAACTATGCAACTAGTTTGGTATGGGTTTAATTGTATTTCAAGATTATTGGGGGAGGGCACTTTTACCGTATGCTTTGAGCTGATTAACCAGGGATTACTGTCCCTATTAATTTGCAGTATTAAAAATTATTTTAAGAAAATAAGTTAAAAGTACTTCATGTATTTAACTGTTGGTTGTCTTTTTGTTTAGGGATCACGTGAACAACTTGCCACTGCAGAATTTTCCCGGGCCATGTTGGTTATTCCTAAGACTCTGGCAGTGAATGAATGCTGCTCAGGATTCTACAGACCTTGTTGCAAAGTTGCGTGCCTTCCACAACGAAGCTCAGGTCAATCCTGATCGCAAAACTTTGAAATGGTAAAACTTTTGTTGTACTGTGGTCTGCAAAAGATTGTGACTTGAGACCCATTGTTGTTTGAATCAGCGATGAAACTAAATTTGAACATTGTTGCAATTCATGAGCAATCATTGATTTTTGGTGACCTGGTGCCCCAGATAGCAGTAAAGTGAAAAATGGATTTTCTCCATCTTGTTAAAGTAACTTTTATGGCTGAGTTGTCGGAATTCAATCGGAAATTATGAATGTTTTACTAATATTGTAGTGACTGGCTATTAAAACAGTGTTAATCAAATTCACATTTTGTTTGTGCAGGATTGGTCTTGATTTATTGAATGGGAAGCCAAGGGACAACAAACAAGCTGGTGTCTTTGAGCCTACTATGGTTAAAGTCAAGAGTCTGAAGTTTGCAACAGAAGCTGCTATAACCATCCTGCGAATTGATGATCTCATCAAACTTTACCCAGATGAAAAGCAAGACAAAGGAAAGAGTTACCAAGATGCAGTTCAAAGTGGAGAGCTTAATAATAATAATAATAATAATAATAATCCTTGCATTTGGTATAGCGCTTTTCACGTCGGGAGGACGTCCCAAAGCGCTTCACAGAACACACTGTAAAGTGAATTGACTGTACATTTGTGGGGGAACGCGGCAGCCAATTGCGCACAGCAATGTCCCACAAACAGTCATAGATTGAAAATGACTAATTTTTATTATTGTTTTTGGTTTTGGAGGGATTATTATTAGGCTCTGTGTGGAGTAAGGAAACTTGCCCAAGGTTTCGCCCTCTGCCTGGAATTGAACTCAGGTCTCTCGCTTGCAAAGCGAGTGCTCTAACCACTGAGCTACAGGACTCCACAGCTTAATGGCTGAAGCACCTGAGTTCTAATATCAGCTATTATAATTCATGTTTAACTCTTGGCATCCATCAGGTGCTTCTTGTACTTCTGTTCTAGATTGAGCAGCTTGTCATACTTGTCTGAAATTCAGTGCCACTTGTTTAGTGCTCTGTTTAATTTACTATGCTTGTTTAGTGCTATTTGGCACAAACCGGATTTAAAAGACCTCTTACTTTGTTACCTATAGTCAACTCTTTCAAGTTATTTGTGCAAAATTATTTCCTGTACATTGACACTTGTGCTTCAAGCTCCTTCAGAAATAAAATGTGACAGTTGTCAAGTGATCAGCCCATCTATGTAGGGAGCTGTTAAGAGACCACCTTAATTTCATGAATAAACGTTGATGTTGTGCTTCTGGTCTTTTCAAATCTAATTAATTGTGTATGTTATTTCATTGTGGACATGATTTCTCCCTCACACAAATTCACTGGGGAAAACATTCATTAAAAATACTACTGGGGAAGGATGTAATAAGGCACTATATCAAATACAAGGATGATTATTATCTCCCCAAATAAGTAACCTCTCTGATTCTTGGTTGCTGATCTTACCATGGGGAATGATAAAATGCTCAAAAGTATTAGGGCAGCATTTGTAAATCAATTAAAGCAAAATTAAAATACAATGAATGTTCCCCTGCTTTCTCACATGTATTCAACCATCTTGCCCTTCTCTAAATACTGGCACTTGATGTAATTTGAGAGTCAGGTTACAAGATTCAGCAATGGTACATTGAGCAGTTTATTTCATAAAGAAAAAAATGGTCAATCTGAATTGAGAGATAATAGGAAGGAGTTTATGGATTTTAACAAAAGTATGGATTCCACATACACAATATTACTATGATTTCAAACTTCAGTACTTTTAATCAAATATTTAAAAGTTACACTAATTTTCAGAACCATTTTATGTGGACTGAAGTTTTGAATAGTTTTAAAACCTACCTACTTTACACATTCATTATAAAAACAAAATGCACCTACATTTCATTGGAATCAGGCTGTAACCTCTAAAATAAAAGCTCAATTTTATCCAGTCAGTAGCTTAGCTGCAGAGTATCTTCAGTTCTTGTAGTAAAATTTAGGTGTATTTTATTGCCTTTCAACACACATAGCTATTCCCATTCCACCTCCTATACACAAAGAAGCAATGCCACGCTTTTTTCCTGTTCTCTCCAGTGCGTAGAGAAGCGTAACCAGAATGCGGCACCCAGACATTCCCAGAGGGTGACCTAAAGCAATAGCACCACCTTGGATGTTTACCTAGAAAGACAAACACAAAAAATGCATTTTTTTTAAAAAAGAGGGAAAACCTTTTCCCTAATTTTCTCCTTACTCCACTGGCCTGCTTCAGGTCCCCTGCCTATCCTACCATCAGCAGTCAGGCTTTCAGCCTATCTGCTCTCACTTTGTGGAACTCCAACGAGAGCCCTATCACCTCAACTCTCCCTTACCTCCTTCAAGGTCCTCAAAACCTTCCTCTGACCGGTCATCTTCCTGGCCCCCCATCCCTCCCGAATCCAACCCCAGCTTGGATGCAAACCCTCGACTGCAGTGGCTTGGGACATCCTCCCGACATGAAAGGCGCTTTATAAATGCAATTTGTTGTTTTATTACATCCCACATTGACCCATTGGGTGAATCAGGAAGTAAAAGGATCAATTGCATTTAGTTGTAGTGCCAATTTTTATATCTACATTTCTCACCTTCTCTGGGTTTATACCCAGTTCCTTGACAACAGCTACAGACTGTGATGCAAAAGCTTCATTGATTTCGAAGAGATCAACTTCATCCAGCGTCCAGCCGGCTTTTTCTACCTAGAATAAATAGTAAATCTAAGTCATTACCCTCGAATCTGAAGACGAGGGAATGCACTGCGGGTGAATCATTGGTTGAAAAGAAAACAATCTGCTTGACCCTACTTCAGGGGGGACAAAATTTGACCGCTCCTCAGTCAATGATATCAGCCATGTGAGGAGTGACCGAGCAGACCTTTTCCAAATGGGAAAGGGAGATACCTGGAGTTGAGCCATGACCCCAGTCTCGTCTCCTGCAGGTGCTTAAAAAACAATAGCAGAGTCCTGGGGGCAGAATAGCTGCCAATTCTCTCACTTGCAGGATAGCCCATTCCCAAAACAGGACACACCATATAAAAGTAGAGTTGTGCTAATAAATCAACATGTCTGAGTCTGGTTAAGGCTCACGTTCTCAGCTGCATCGAGAGGACGAGAAAAGTAATTCGGGAAACGTTCTGTAGCTTCAAACCTTTATACAAATATGTGCATGGCCAAGAGACCGTAGCTATGCATAATGATGGCTATCAAGTAACATGCTACTTTACATTTACGTCCGTTCTATGAGCTTGCACAGCTTTGGTTCACACATTCACACCCTCCAAGGTGGTTTTAGGATAACACACACCTTCCTGGCTTCTGTTAGGCCAGTCATCACAGTGTAAAAGTACTGCCCTCGGGTGACTTTGCTTATCTGTCACCACAGAGGATAATTTTAAAGATATATTGTTGCTCTAAAAAGGTTAAAAGCTTGAGCTTCCAAGGAATTCAACCACAGAATCTTTTGGTCTTAAGTTGGCTGAGCCATGTAGGATGCCTGGGTCTCCACCAAGAATAGTATGTTTCTATTCGCGAGGATGTTTAAAGTGCTTCACAACTATGAAGTGTGTAGTGACTGTGTATTTTGTAGGAGCATCTTTAGTCAACAGTCATGTTCCCTTTACAGTTCAGAACAGAATTAACCTCCTCCATATTTTGAACTTCAGAAAGGATTCAGGTTTGTTCCAGTAAATTTGTTCACATTTTTCCAATCATCGATGAGCACCTCCACAGCTGAGGTAGTTAATACACGACTGTGTCTTGGAGGCTGGGAACAGGCACTTTGGATTGCAATCTGAGCTCAAACACATTTTGCCCATTATTTCAGTATCTAATTTTAAGAAATGGTTACAATACATGATTAAATAGAAACAAAAAGAACATTTTCTATTCAAATGACGCCCCCCATTTTTAATCAGAACAATACTATCTTATAAATTTATCAAACCCTGCATATAGATTGCTCCATTCCCAAGCTGCTCTCTTTGAGCACTTGGTTGACAAAGGCACTGCCTGGCGTTGAACTGAGACTTGGAAGACCCAGATTTGTGCCAGGTTACCTGGTCTCAGCTTGGCAGCAGATGGGATGTTACAATTAGTTTGTATAAGTAGGAGGAAAAATACAGCCAGTGTTCCCACTTCTTATCACATTCAATGGTCCTGGCTGGAAGGTGCTTGTGTGTGGACAGGAAGAGACTTGTCTGTGATATTCCATCTCCTCTCATGGTCAAACAGCCCAGTGACCCTTTACCACTCGGATTCACACATGAAGTACGGCCACTTTAATGAGATACTGGAGGGCAGCTGGTAGCCTTAGAACTAAACACCACAGATCCTCAGAGAGGTTAGAAAACAGAGGGAAATGCAATTAATTTCCAGTTCTTAAATGCAAACCTTGTATTTATTCAGTGACAGTTCTTACCTGTTACACCCACGTGGTAGTTATAAAAGGCGTCCATTAGGCCATCACACAGAATGGTATCCTGAAGGAACATATCTCCTACTTTGACCCCAACTCGCATTGGAACCACATGTGGAGCCTGTGATTAAAAGAAGCAGGTTTTAGCTAAGTGTACTTGCTGTGTACTGGGACTCCACATGCAACAAGATCTGGCTGGAGAAAAGGAAGAACTTGCATTTGTATAATGCCTTATTTTGTGGACCACTGGCACCAGTATCGGTGAAAGAGGGAGCTCTTCCATCAGGATGTCATTGAACATATTCAAGACTGAGATTGATTTTGAAAAACTAAAGGGATTAAGGGATATGAGGATAGGGCGGGTAACTGGAATTAGGTTAGAAGATCAGCCATGGTCTTATTAAATGGCGGGGCAGGCTTGAGGGGCCGAATAGCCTACTCCTGCTCCTATTTCTTATGTTTTTAATGTTGACAAGACAAAGGCTTCCCTGCTTGGCTCCCGTCAGCATCTCCGCACTTCAGGCATTGGCTCACGTCAGCTCACGGAGACAGTACAGAATATCAAATCAACCATTTATTCAAACCTCATCTTCAACCTTTCATCTGTGGGGTCTGATCAAGTTGATGTTCTTCCATCTTCACAACACTGACTGCCAACTTCAGCCACAGCCCCCCTTTCCCCACCCCCAGCCACCCTTAACAGCATCTTTTGCCCTATTATTATGATTATTATTTATTATTATTATTTCTCAAATCCCTCAACCTATCTCCCCGGCAGGGGCTGGTGGGGGGGGGGGCAGGGGCAGGGAGGGGGGGTAGGGGGCTGCAGGGAAGGGGAAGGGGCTGGGGGGGCAGGGGGCGCAGGGGGGGGGCAGGGGGTGCAGGGCGTGGTCAGGGGCTGGGGGTGGGCAGGTGCAAGGGGGGGGGCAGGGGGCTGGGGGGGGCAGGGGGCTGGGGGGGGCAGGGGGCTGGGGGGGGCAGGGGGTGCAGGAGGGGGCAGGGGCCTGGGGGGGGGGGGGGGGGGGGGGGGGGGGGGGGGGGGGGGGGGCGCTGTGGTGATGGTAATAGTGATGGTGAAGGCACAAACAGCTTCAATTATCCTTCAGCTGTTTGCAGGAAATCCGCCTCCAGAGCAGCGCCTCCACACACACACACACCCCCAGTGTCCGGGGGTCCCCCCCAGTGTCCGGGGGTCCCCCCCCAGTGTCCGGGGGTCCCCCCCAGTGTCCGGGGTTCCCCCCCAGTGTCCGATGTTCGCCGCCCCCAGTGTCCGGGGGTCACCCCCAGTGCCCGGGGGTCCCCCCCCAGTGTCCGGTGGTCCCACCCCCAGTGCTCGGGGGTCCCCCCCCAGTGTCCGGGGGTCCCCCCCAGTGTCCGGGGGTCCCCTCCCCGCTGTACGGCTGTGGTGCTGCTCGCTCTGTGTTACCTATTGGGGTTCTCGCTGCGGACAGGAGGCGGGGGGGGGGGGGGGGGGGGCACCAGGCAATCCGCCCCGCCCCGCCCGCCCTCCCTGCCAGTCACCCCACCCCTGGGCCGGTCCCTGCAAGGAAAAAATTTCCCCACCACTCTCGCCCCCCACCCCCCATCCCGCTCGGCTGCTTTGGAGTCATCTGAACTTCTTCCCCTCTTGGCTTCCTCCCACAATGACCTATCCTCCTCGGTCACTGTTCTCCACAGCTCCCTCTCCTCCACTTTCGATTCCCCTACTCCCCTCTCTTCCCGAACCATCTCCTATTCAGATAAGTCACCATGGTACACCAGCCACCTCCACTTCTTGAAGACAAGTGCATGCCGCTGAGAGCACCGGGCTTAACTCAAACTTAATGATCCATCAGCAGATCTGGCTGGAACTTTTCAAATCCTACCACCTCGCTCTCGCCCCCTCTAATTCATCTTTCTACTCCAAGACAATCTTGGAGGCTAAGGGCAACCCCAGGCTCCTCGTCTCCATCACCAACCAGCTCATCCGTCCACCCTCTCATGCCTCACCCATCCTCACCTCAATGCCAACTGTGAGGCGATGTTGGACTTCCTCAAATCCAAGGTTGATGGGATCCACCCAGCTGCCTTTGCCCTTCCTTCTGCTACCCCCATCCACATCTCCCCCTCCCGCCCCGGCCCCTACCCATCCCTCCCTCCACACCTTTGAACCTGTCTCCCACTCCTCTCTCATCGCCACTATAACCACCATGAAACCGACCACCTGCTCCCTCGACCCCATCCCTACCCCTCTCCTTCCCTCCCAGCTACATCTTCTTGCCCCTCTACTCACAGACATCATAAGCCTCTCCCTGTCCACTGGTACTGTTCCCACCCCATTCAAAACCGTCGTCATGACTCCTATCCTCAAAAACCATCCCTGGACCCATCTGTGTTCTCAAACTACCGCCCCAAACTCCTTTTCCTCTTCAGTATCCAGGAATGAGTTGTTGCTTCCCAGCTTCTATCCGTCCTCTCCCGCCACTCTATTCACGAGCCACTCAAATTAGTTTTCTATGCAGCCCACAGCACAGAAACAGCCCTGGTCAAAGTGACAAATAACATTCTGTCCATCTGCGTCCAAGGCTCCTTCTGCCCCCTCGTCCTTCTTGATCTCTCTGCTGCCTTCAACACCGTTGACCACTCTATCCTCATCCACCACCTCTCCTCTCACCTCAACCTTCATGGCTCTGTCCTTGACTGGTTCAGATCGTACCTCTCACACTGCCTCCACTTCATCTCCACAAACGGTTTCGCCTCTAGCCCCTGCACCGTCTCGTGCGAGGTTTCTCAGGGCTCTGTCCTTGGTCCCCTCCTCTTCAATATCCATATGCTCCCTCTTGGTGACATCATCCACAGACATGGGATCAATTTCCACATTTATGCAGATGACACCCAACTCTACCTCTCTGCCTCCACCCTTGACTCCAGGACCACTGCTTTCCTGACAGAATGTCTGGATGAGAGCTAACTTTCTTCAGTTGAATGTCTCCTGATTGGCACCTCAGGCTCTGACAGCATCACCATCCATGGTTGCACATTCCACCTTACTAAGCCAGGCCGGAACTTTGATGTCTTGTTTGACCCTCAACTATCCTTTCTACCCCACATCTGTGCCATGACCCCCTCTGCCTTCCCCCACCTCCGCAACATCGGCCAACTTCATCACTGTCTCACACTGTCTAACTCCTTGCTTGTCGGCCTCTAACTCTGCAGCCTGTGTCCGCTCCTGCATTAAGCTCCGTGACCCTATCATCCCCGACTCCACTGGCTTCCCATCACACAGAGGATACAGTTCAAGATCCTGGTCCTCACCTTCAAAGCCATCCATGGTC